GAAAACATTAAACCTCCGCCATCGCTGCAGCTGTAAAAAGATCGCGCAAGTACGGGCCGACAACGACTGACCAGAATCATAAAGTGATAGAAATGCAACACTTCCGCAAATTGTTGCAGATTTCAATGCTGCACCACCTACAAGTGTCATCGTGCGAACGAAAAAAAATTAAGCCACTTTTTAAAAAAGGCAACAAAAAGGAAATTCAAAATTACCGACCAATTTATTTTTTATCAATTTTCTCGACAATATCGAGAATTTTTTTATACCCTAATGGAAGCTTTTCTCAGAAAAAACGAAGCGTTTGCAGACTCACAACACGGGTCTAGAAAATCAAAATCTACCGAAACTGCCCTTTTTTTCTTTTCTTAAAGATGTTTCTTCATCAATGGACAAAAATGATGCACCAATTGGAATATTTTTAGATCTTTCGAAAGCTTTTGACGTTATTGACCATAACATCTTGCAATCAAAATTACCTTCTTATGGAATTCGTGATATTGCCCTAGATTGGATAACATCTTACCTTAACCATCGATCTCAAAGAGTAAAAATACCGTACTGGCACGAAAGGACATTATTAACTTAATTTTCCAATTCTTTACCAATTGAATATGGGGCCCCACAAGGTTTGATATTAGTTTAGTCTTCTGTTATACGTAAAAAGACATAAAAAAGTAACATAAAAACAGATGGACCATTACATTCTACATTACCAGAAGGAAAACAGTAATTCAAAATTTCGAAATTAATGTACCAATTGTATATTATGAATCTTCTTATGCTATTGAATTTAAAGCAACTGCAATAAAAAATCCTATCTCTACAATTTCATTTTATGATTTGCACACATTTGAAATATCTGGAATTGCAGGAAAAAGCAATTTTGAAATTGATATTACAAATCATTATCATTCTTTACAGTATGATGTGCCTTATTTCGTTTTTGAGTATTCCAAACAAATATACAAGATAATCAAGAAAAATATTCAAGTGAATTTGATCATTGTTATCTACCGAATACTTCACTAAAAAATTGTCGAAATGTACTATTTCCATCAGAAAATTGGAATGTAACACAACCAATTCTTTTAAAAAAGTCTATCGTTCATTTACAGAAATCAAAAGAATTTTGAATAATAATAAAAATTTAGAAATGGCGATATCACTTCTTTTTATTACAAGATATCCCGTATATTTGATAAATACTTACATAAAGAAAAATGTAGATGCACAAAAACATCTATGAAATTATGTGCTTCATATCATAATACTATTCCTAATAACAAAATTAGATACGTTATCATGTGCAATAAAAAGAGTTAAATACGTGACTTCCAACATTGTATGATTCAAGAAAATTTTTAATTTTAATATAATTGAATTAAAAATTTACACATAATATAATACTTTTTTAGTGTAATAATTGTTTAATATAATTTAATGCATTTTAAATATAATATAATAAAATGTTTTAACATAAATGGAGAAAAAAGGATGTTGGTATATGGTTGTAATATTAATAATAATTGTAATTATGAAATAAGGATGTTGGTATATGTACATAGTTTTATGAAAAGGATGACTAAAATATTTCGAGCTATTAAAGTGGTTCAAGTAACAAAATTATAAAATAACTTGCTCATATTGATGTTGAAGTCACTACTTAAGATATATGAATTGTTGCATCTTTATATATACATGTTCTCTTATCTCTAATTCCTAATCTCTTGTGCAATAATAACATGTGTTCTCTTATCTCTTATGGAATATGTACAGGTGTTATCTTACATCTTAGGAAATATTCACACCTGCACTCGTATCTCTTATGTAGAATTAAAATGAGGTCTCGGTATCTCAATAGAACTCACACCTCAAAACACGTAAAATTATTAATATTTTTGACTAAAAATATGAAAATGTGTAGATCTGTAGCTGAATTGGAATTTTATTACAAAATCACCGTATTTCAAAACCAGGTCTTACGTTGAATTCATTAAATCAAAATGTGTTTTATTGAATATGCTTGAAATGTTAAAAATTATGTATTTTGAAGTATGTGGTCTAAGTGGTCTAAATTACACCTAACCCTTCACAGTATATAAAATCGCAAAAAAAAAAAAAAAAAAAAAAAAAAAAAAAAAAAAAAAAAAAAAAAAAAAAAAAAAAAAAAAAAGAAAAGAAAAAAAAGAAAAAAAAAGAAAAAGATAAAAGGATGAAAATATTTAAATATCTAAAAATGTGTCGGAAAAATCTCGCCTACGGCGCGTTTACACGGAGAGAGGTTTCTCTCCTAACTTTCCGGAACTGGTTACGAGACACGTGTAAACTCTCAGGAGAGCGATATTCTCTCCGGAGACATGACGTCACAAGAGATTAAGTCTCCACAAGAGAGCAATGTAAAGGCTCTGGTATCGGTGAGGAATCGTATCTCCTGGGAGATAAATAGTATTCAAAGAGAGTTGGAAGACTTTTTGCTCTCTTGC